GTTTTACAAAAAGGTCAAGAGTAAATTCCTTAATTAAAATGAATTAAAAATCATCAGATAGTACAAATATTATATAAGGCTATTAAAACATTTAAGAGCATATATTTATCTTTTCAAAGGTTATTTTCAAAGCGGTTATGGAATCCAGAGGTCATGTTGGTAGTAGGTAGTAGTAGGTAGTAGGCAACGATATGCTCTTGAGCAAGTTCTGACGTATTTAATATTCCGTGTGTATTATTAATTATTATAAATCAGTGCTCGTCTACTATTCCATATAGGAAGTGGTGATGTAGCCGAAGATGATAAAGCTCATTAATCTAATTTTACAAAAGTCTATTAGTCTATTAGTCTCTTACTTGTCTCGAAGACGCTGGCAAATTGATTCTATTCCTTTGTTGTATGTATTACGAACGACGAAGGACACTGTTTGATTCGAATGCGTTCAATAATAAAGGAGTGGATACAGACCAAGCACCTAGGTCTAGTTGTGCAGTGGGAGAAGGTAGAGAGAGGAATTAATCTTGCAATTCTAGTGCTTATTCTGCGACATATATCCTGCAGAACACCAAAATACTTCTTCAATTTACTTACTTTTTCAAGTTTTCTTGTATTGTAAGTATGGAGCGATCGGGTCATACGTAACCTGCTGTTATGTGTACGTTATTCTATGTGTGTACGCTATAGTAATTCCGAGCATATTAGACAGTAATTGGTAAGATTCAGAGTTCGGACTCTGGGGCGAATACGAGTACTACACTAGAGTACACAGGTATACTATTCGCTGAAAACTGAACTGAATCAGAGTATATATTTCAGAAAAAATTTGTTCTGTTATTGAAGCTGATTTTTGTTACCTGTTAAACATTCTTTATTTTATTGGTCATCATTTAAAAATAGCAGGCAATAAATAATTATATCTATAAATATCGTTTTTGATTTTGTAAAAAGTTGTTTCTTCCTCATGTTATAGTAAGTTTATACTTGGCTTGACGGTTTTTACCTTTCCGAACTTGATCTAATTTTCATAAACTTTTTTACTTATTTCCTATTTTATTATACAAAAACATTTAGTATTTATGTAAATTGTTTTGTATATACATACTACATACACATACATGTATTAAGAGAGATTTTGATATCTTTTGTTTTAACTCAATGTTTAAAATTTACTTCCAATGATCTTCAATAGAAGATATTAAAATAGAGTTTTAAAAAAATAATCATATACTTTAATTTATATTATGTACATGAAACGGAAGAGCATTTAAATATTATTTAATTTAGTTTAGTTGCAGCTCGACCAGGGAAGGACCACGCTCTCACAGTATTCTATGAGACGGTATGATGCACGGTATAGCGTAAAATAGCAGCTGAATGCCGCTGTAAAATAGTGAGAGTATAGTGTATATAGTCAGAGAACGGCAGACATATTTTAATGGAAGTAAGGCATTCCACCTTAGTCCTCAGAGGTGACAACGAATGTGCATTTTGATTCTTAATCGAGGATAGATTATCGAGGATAGATTATAAGGGCCACAGCATCCACTTAAATATTATATTGCTTATCCTTTTTAATTATAAAAGTCATAGTTACGACCAAATCTTGCAAAAAAATGAATATTTGTCTCATCATCATCATCATCATCATCACAGCCCTTCACAAGTCCACTGCTGAACATAGGCCTCCCCCAAGTAATGCCACAAAGCACGGTCCTGAGCCACCTGCATCCATCGACTTCCTGCATATCTTACCAGGTCGTCACTCCATCTAGTGGGGGTCGCCCTACACTACGCCTACCGGTACGAGGCTGCCACTCGAGAACCTTTCTTCCCCATCGGTTATCGGTTCTTCGAGCTATATGGCCGGCCCATTGCCACTTCAGCTTACTAATCCGTTGGGCTATGTCGGTCAATCTGGTTTTACTGCGGATATCCTCATTTCTGAGTCTATCACGCAGAGAAACTCCGAGCATAGCCCTCTCCATAGCTCGCTGAGCGACCTTGAGCGTCCTCATACGGCCAGCAGTGAAGGACCACGTCTCTGATCCGTAAGCTGGCAACACGCACTTGTTGTACACTTTAGTTTTCAGATTTAATGTCCATGTCACACCTATGCCGGTAGTTGTTGGGAGCACTATGCTCGAAGTTGTTGATGAGTACGTTTACCTGGGACAAATATTCCGACTAGGTAAGTCCAACTTCGACCGAGAGGTCAATCGACGGATTCAACTCGGCTGGGCAGCGTTCGGGAAATTACGACATATCTTCTCGTCAGGTATACCTCAATCTCTGCAAAAAATGAATATTTGTCTAAAACAACTTAATATTCTGGCGTATAATTCCATTCGTTTAATACTTTAATACAATAAACGCTTTATGTATTTGAAAATAACGTTATGGTCCTAAGTTGATATCTTCGGACAAGATCGCAAGGATCTTTGTTATTTTTATTATTTTGGAGGTCTTTCGTAATTTAAAAGTCTTGTCAAGAGCATTGTAACCGGATGAAAGCGAGTCATCGTGTTATGTACACGATGAATAATGATGATATGTTCTTTGACCCTTTTAATGTTTCCTACTTTATTATTATGTTAACAAATACTGATTTGCACAAAAAGTAAATCAGCAAAGTTTATTGTAACTACGCCGTTGACATCTTTTACTGTTATTTTGACTATGACTTTAAATATTAATTAGCTTAATTTAAACGATTTAGCTAAGATCTGCGTAAAATATAAAATTACGCGTTTTACCCTAATCTAACTCATCATTTTATTTTATTGCGGGGCTCTTAGCTAATTATTTTTTAACATCTATGATTTTAACTATGACTTAGAATATTAATTAGCTTAATTTAAATTAATTAGCTAAGATCTGCGTAAAATATAAAATTACGCGTTTTTCCCTAGTTAGACTCATGATTTCATTTTATTAAGCGTTTCTTAGCTAATTAATTTTTAATATATTTAACAATGGTTTTGACTTTGACTTTGACTTTAATGAAATTCATTAAGGATGTCATTGAAGTCAAAGTTAACAAACGCCGGCAAATATTACACTCCTTTGCTGTACGAATTACGAAAGACGAAGCAAGCCGTTCAGATCGTATGCGTGGAATATCGACAACAAAGGAGTGAAGGCCCGCTGACCGCATCATTGTTCGTTGGTGAAAAGGGGAGGGAGGAATTAAGACAAGTAATTCCCGCACACACTCTCCGAAATGCCTCCTGTAATTTGCGCCCGTGCTCGGCTAAAACATTGGTTTTAATTAAATGATGGTGACCTAAAATTACATTCAGCAACCGAAACATCAAGCCTGCCCAACGTTAAATTTAAGGTACAACTAAAAATAAAAAAATATAAACAGCTTTTACTGCATAATTTAAATAACGAACACTATTAGAGAATATAGGATATCTGCTGTACGCTAGGCGAATTTTATTTCTATTTGAACTGGGTTGCAGGTTTTTGGGACTTAAGGGCAGTATTATATATTAAGTTGGCATTCATAGGCCGAATATTTTTTTTAAATAAAGAGGTTGATTTATTATCAGCTATTACATATCGAATTGTCAAGGCGAATATAGATACATGGCTAGCACTAGCACGCTAGTCACTTTTTATCGGTATTTAGTTTCACAGTAGTCCCCAAAATCGATGGTAATTGATGTCGGTCTATAAATTTTTAACAATGCACTAATTATTACTAAAACTTAATTTATTTTAAGCGGAAAAAAGACATCGGTAAACACCTTTACGAAAACTTGATTAAGAAAATATATTTATGATAATTAAACTTTAAAAATAGAAAACCAACTTCAATTCAAGAACCTATTTTTTTACTATTGGCTTTAAAATTTATGATTAAATTGCCGATTGTTGATAATTTCAAATATAATCATTCATTAACATTCTAAGAAAAGTGTATGTTATTATTTAAAAACGAGAAACACTACATTTTGTTTCGCGGGTGTCGTAAGAGGCGACTGTGGGGTATGTCCGAAAAATATTATGGCTTCCGATAAATAGCGACAAATTAATATCGTTAACGACAGGCGTAAAATACCCAGAGCGGTGACGTGGAGCTGCGTCAAAGGTGTGAGAGCTCGGGTATCGTCGTCATCAATCTGCCAGCTAAGCATGGCGATTAAGTCATAACCTCCTTAAAACGAGAGAGACTCGTGTCCAGAAGTAGACTTTTACGGGTATGAAGAAGATGAAGACAATATAAACCTGTAAATCTCAAAGATGGTGTCAGCCCTTTTACCATTTCATTAGAGTTTTATAGAGCAATTTGTCCAGCGCACTTCTTCAGTGCGCGTTGGCGAACTTCACATGTCTTCGAAATATTTTTCTCATCAAACATGTAGGATTCCTTATGATATTTTTCTTTAGTTCCGAGCTTGTAGCAAATCAATATTTAAAATGCAATCAATAATTTTATTGGTGCAGACAGGGATCGAATTCCTGTTGAGCTACCACGGGTCCATTGGTTTGTAACTACACTTGTTTTTAATAAATGAATTTAATATTTTACTAGAAACTAACTTTTGTCGAGAGTTACAATGTTAATTTATAACGTTTTGTTAATTTATACAATGATTTTACATAATTCTATATAAAAGAAATATTATTTTGTAACACATAAATAAGACATGTTTTATTTAAATTAATAATACATTAACAATACTTTATATTATATACTTTTATAATGAAATATCTAGATGAAATTAACAAAATAAAGGATAACTTTAGTGAAACGACTAGAATTTAATGCCATTACTATATTACGATAATTGACTAATTAGGACATATGGAGAGGCTTTGAAAGGAAATAGTTTGATTTTCTATTGCAATTAATTGAAACGTGTTAATACTATTTTAATTTATTTGTTATTGTTGAAACTATAGCCAATCCTTAAATTTTGTATTATTTTTTGGAATAAAAATGGCCGTTTTACATTTTTATATAAAAAATAAATAAAAAATTAAAAACTTACTGTAAAATATATTTGTTCGCTGTTAACGTATGAATTTGAAGAGTCCAAAACTGGCATACACACAAGAGTCGTTAATGTTTTTATCCACACTTTTTTTAATAATCTTAATGGTCACTACTGCGTCCTTTCCGCGCGGATACCGATCGACAACTGAATTTTATGCGTTTGCGATGCGATCGGCAACGTACGCGGTTCACGTGCTGATTGATCCTCTTGCGTATTTCGCTTACGTCTGCGATAGCTGCCTCGACCTCGAGTTACAACAATTAAAAGTATAATACAAAATTATTATTGATCAGTATTAATTTATGTAACAGAAAAGGTTGGAAATTTTATGAACTTGAAACAAGTGGCTCTAAGTATTAGTGTATTGATGTACATCACATCTACATTTATCCTCGATTAAGAAGCAAAACAGATGCGTAGTCACCCCTGAGGACTAAGATGGAATGCCTCGTTTTCAGTAAAAAAAGGTCTTTGGATCTCTACACTCACCATACGAAACATAGCAGTATTAAGTTGCTATTTTACGCTGGCATTCTGTGATAGCGCGGTCTTTTCCCGGTCAAGCTGACCCATTCGTACTACAACCATAATACAGCTGCACCGTAGCTCTACCATGTATATTTTTAAATTTTTTTTTTGCCTACATCGCTGGCAAAAAATTTTGTAAAAAGAAAGATTCTTAAATAAAACCAAATCTACGGTTTCATCAACGAAACGATAGAACTTTTCAATAATTTTGGCCTAATTTATACTTATGCAATGTTATTATTTTTAGTTTTATCTGTTATTACAATTATTTTGGTAAGAAAAAATAGATTTAAAGCGTTTATTACTTAAATTATTGAAACGGTGTATTTAAATATCGTATTAAAAATACATTGAACGTATTATCGATATTACAATCAATTACAGTAAATTATAATGCTATGAGAATGGCCAGTATGAAAAAAATATAAGTAATGCAAGACTTTGAAAAATTTAATCAAAGATAGGTCATCGAGGCTGCCATTTGAAAGAATTTCTTCCCCATTATTTATTTCCTTGAGCTATATGGCTAGCTCATTGAAGCTTAGTTGCGACTTGTCATTTAAGTTATTAATCATAAATATTGCTATATTCTTTTGAAATTCGTTGTCCTGATGTGACCAAGATGGTCTCTTTGAATGGAATTTGTCTTCTTGAGCGTGAGTGATCAGGCTGCTATGCGTATTCTGGGGTAAGGTTGACTCCCCTTAAATACTTACAAGTTCGGAGCAAACAGAGGCCCTTATGTGTATATTATTATAAAAAAATTGTTAATTTTCTCAAATATTTGTATTTATATTGAAATTTAGCTGGTATTTTCCTCCTTTTTAAACCGGCAGTTATCAAAACCGTTGATATATTGTATATCTCAAACTTTCACATAGCTCTTAATATTTTGAAATATTGTCTTCTTGTATCTAGATTTACATACTTAGTTCGCTCGAGTCCAGTCTGGAAATATTCGGATATTTTAAAAGATATAAATAATTATCCTAAAAAGCTATAGAAAAAATTCAAAATTTGACTATAAATACAATAGTCTGGACTCAGTAAAGTAGCTTACCTATATAGTTTTGTGGTATTGGTGTGAAAAATCTTTTTAGCGTTGCATTCCCTGCTTTCCTCGCTTCCGTGCATAGTATCAGTGACTTATGTAACATAATTTTAAATAGTAAAGTAGACCTGTGCCTTGCTGCGGAAGCAGGTTAGATATGACAAACGCTCCGTCCCGACTAGAATATTATATAGTGGAAGTTAACCATGAAGATGAAGAAGGCATGGTTCTTTGAACGATGTCATCCGAAGAGCTGTTGTCTCTATAAATGTCCCCTCTGTTTAAGAGCCTTGTGGCATATTTAGAGACGATGGCAAAAGAAGAGGCATTGGTCGCTTGGGAGAGAGGTGGGATAGTGTGGGATGCTACTTGCGTAGACGCTTTCGGGGGTACCTCATTTAGAGCCGGCGTGACATTATGGGCAGGTGTACCGAGTAAGTGGCGCAAATAGGAGTCTCTGAGAGATGACTACATATTTGTACCATTTGCTGTAGATACTATCGGTCCGAGGGGTCCACGTGCGATGAAGTTCCTAAAGGAACTATATTCGCGACTGGTCATTGCTGCTGGTGATGAGAGAGCTAGCTCTTTTGTCGCTCAGAGTTTTTAGCATGATACCACGGGGAGTAATACTGTATGATAATTAATTATATTAGTTTTAGTTTTTTTATTGTAGTTCTTTGATACAATAATATTAATAAATAATAAACACAAAGTTATATTAACGTTGTGGATGTTTTAATTTTACAGCGCTTTTTTATGTACAAGCACGATTTTTTAAAATTATTTTGTTCTATTAATTTATTCAATGGCCTTGTTTCCATTATTCCAAGGGATAAAACAGGTGTATCAATAACCCACACAGCTCATCTGCTATTTTACTCTGATATTCTGTGAGAGCGTGATCCTTCCCCGGTCGAGCCTAACCATTCGTGTTACAATCATAACACAGATGCAACATGGCTCTACTCCGTAGTGTGACATTTGTTCTATGAATCAAATAAGTAAATAAAAAATAATAGTATCTTCGTCATTTAATAAATCATAAGCTAACCTTGGGCATATACCCAAACACTTTAAAATTTTAAATTACACTTGAGTCAGCAGAACAAGTTAAGCACTATTGACGTAGGAGTCATTATATACACTTTTGCAAAAAAAAAAACGGGCACCTAAGCAAATAACCAATTTTTTATTACCAGTAGATTATTTGATAACGTTAGGTAGTCTTATACTCAGAATTTTGTAAATTAATTAGCAAGGAGTAGTTTCCGTCAGTTTTTATCAAAACCATTTGATTAAATTAATGAGAAGTAATGTTAATGTTTACGATCTAGTGGCGGTGTAAGAATATTCACTACACTATATTAACTTATCCCTGATATAGTTACTGTCTCCTTTGCTAACTGCAGACCTTCTATCGTTTTGATGCTTTTAGGAAATTCCTTTTTGGGCTATCTCTGTAGACATCCCAGGAGGTCGCTTTTGGAACCCTAAAAGCTACGGTTTCATAGATTGGTGACGCTCCAATCACAAACTTAATGTGTTTGTGATCAGACATCGAGTTTTCACTACTACGATTCCGGTCACTTATCTGTCTGGACATGTTATGGGTAGCACTTCAACACTTCTTGCCTAGCACGTGTTACAAAGGGTGGTGTACAACCTAAGTTTAGGCTTACCAGGCGGTTGTAGATGAGAAAATCCTAACTCACCTCTTTTGTTGATGTTAGTGCTTCCCTACGCTGTGGGGTGAGCATTAGCATCACAAACCACCACAAGATCAGCGTTGTGTTTTCGGACAAACTCCGCCATTCGCTTTAAACTCGATGGTAGGATCTGAGTTCTCTCCGGTAAGATAGGCTGAGCAAATGATTACTCTGACCCTGTGCATCACTTGAGATTTATGAAGGCTGTAACCAGGTCATTGTTACAGTACTCTGGAAAAGCTAAAAGTTCAATAGTTTTCTTGTAAATTATAAGAGCTCTGGGTCTACTGCATTTAGTATTATTGACTAGAATCTTACCGGCAGCCGACAATCCCAGAACTTGACTATTGGCGAGCCAAGACTCTTGTGTGACGGCGAGGTCAATGTTGCCCCCTGCAAAGCAAACCTCCAACGGTAGAAGGAGCTGCTGCATGGTGAAGATTTGCCTGGAGGACTTACCCTTGGGGTTCGCCATTTATGGGCGTAGGGGGCCAGGGGTCTTTTTCGCCTGTTGAGGATGAAGACGTTTTTTACTGGCGCTCTCGACCCCCGCTTTACATTTCGCTTTACCGCTCCCACCTCTCTTCCTTGGACTTCTCTTACCCCTGAACGACACCAGCGGAGGCCATCAGACCGAGGCTAGATCAGCGCCTTGGGTTTTCTCTACTCTCACTGATGATATTTCAGTCTCAACCCAAGAGGGGGAGGGCTGGGGGATTGAAGTTGGGGCGGTTCAGGCTCCATTGCCGCGTTAAAACCTTCCCTGACTTTAAAAGTTATTAATTTAAAGCCAAGGACGACTCTGCCGCGTGCCTTCCGAAAAGCCCCCACCGATGGTTCGTCCAGAGAAAAGGTTACTAGGAACCCATTCTCCTGGGCCCTACGGTGGAGGATTTTCCAGAGCTCGGTATGTAGCTCTTCGTTTTGTGCCCTCAACAGCACAGCCGCCTCTTTTGTTGAGTTAGCTTCGCTGTGGTGCAAATAGGTAATGCCCAGCAGAGGCTTAGGTAGTTCGCTCTCGAGTATTATCGAGAGCTCTGCCTTCCACCATGGTTTCAGTTTTCCGATTTCAGTTACAATCCGGTCCTGGCTTCCTTTATGAGTGAAAATTGAAAATTTTGGTCCCATTCCCGCCTCTGCCCCATAAGCCATTTTAACGATGGCCTGTGTTAGTGCCCGGTGGACCAGCGACATCTGCTTCATGCTCATATGACTCGAATTACAAATTCCTACACGTGAGGAGCCAGCTCCGGCACTGAAACTGAGCTTCTTCTTCCCTGTTGACAGCTTCACAGACTTCCTGGGCATGTCTTTGGGGAACTCTTCCTCCGACCGGCTGCGTTTTTTCGTCTTCAGAATTGGGGAGGTTTGGGCAGAGTAATTTCGTCCCCGGACTTCTGACAGAGAGAAAGTGCCTGTTTGGCTCCTATCTCAGCTGTTATCTATATATTGCTGCCCCACTAAGCTTATAAAGCCTAGCGAACTTTTTCTTTTCCCCTCCCTGGTTCGTTTCCGATTGTGATTCGGCTGTAAACGTGCCCTCCACTTCACAGCTTGTCCCAGGTTGGGGCGTAGTATTGCAGGGTATTGGTGAGGCTAAAAGAGCCTCTTCCAAGCATACAAATTAAAGGAGGTTTTTCATAATTGTTCGCAAAATGTCGATTTTCGTCCATTCTGGTCCCACGATTAACTAGGGAAATACTCGGTCACCGCCGCGCAGTAGAGCCGCGCATGCCTAGGGAAGGGCTAAAATACTACCCGGATCACCCTGGTTTCGGGTAGGCACAGTTTTTAGGGGAATCCAGTCACATTACCCCCAGCCACGCATCTATCGGCACGGTACGCTTGACTTTTCCTATCTTAACCCAATCCAAGGTGGATTGGGTTAAGATAGGAAAAACGGGGACGGGATAAAAGAAAAGAAAAAGAGGATCGTCTGATTGTTTCTGTTCTGTCTGTTTCCTATTGAACCAAATCAAATAACAGGTGGCAACCACGTGAAGGAAGAACTCCTTAGACTTGCCTTGGGAATGAACACGACCCGCGCTCTTCCCCAGACCCAATTTCTGCTCTCCTGTCCGGCGAGCAGATTAGCTCGCGGGACAGGAGAGCAGAAGAGGTGTTAATCTAGTCCTACTGATAATGTCAAAATGTAAGGAGTAGACTCCCCCGCTCAAGGGGGAGGCCTATGTTTAGTAGCTAACTTTAATACGTTGTAACGGTAATGTTAAAGTTCAATGTGCTAGTTATGTAGTGTACGTGCTCGCTAAATAAAATTACACCCGTTTTTTTCGTTTTTTTTTTTAATAAAGTAAAAGCAGATAAGAGTTTAGTATGGATTGTGATTCTCTTGCTAAAAATCACAGCCTGCATTTTTCTGGGTTACTAGCAAGTATATCCCTTATGGTTTATTGCGAAAAGCGTTTTCACTTCGAGGTAATCACATTCTATAGCTCTCGGATAGTCTGCGTAGCCAGCTGCACTGATCGGGCTAGATGTATGTTACATGGTTTAGTCTTTTTATGACACATCGGTCATAAAAAGCCCTCCATGAGCGCCACCATTTGCCAGAATGCCACTCCTGCAGACGTGACGTAAATATAAGGCATCACCACCAATTGCATGATCGGTATGGCTTCTAGCCGCAGAGCATGAAATGAGTCTAATGCTCACCTCAAGGGTATAAAGCCGTCTAACGTGGGGTCCCACGTTAGGCGGCTTTCGGCCGCAGCCTTGAGAGTCTACTCCCTCCAGCTATGACCCGCATGAGGTCGACACATATGCTCCACCAACCAATTCAACGGCAGATATAGCCAAAAGGCAGTTTTAATATAATACAAATAATTCGACATGAGAAAGGGTTTGCGTAACTGTCGTTAAGTATATTATGCATTTTTCGATCATGTTTGTCTCACCCACCAACAAGTTACCTTCAATCATTCAAAGCTATGAAATTTACAAAGGTATTGTATTATGTTGTTACATAAACTATTATGAATGTCAGACAGTCTGCAGCCCCGTCATCAAATGTGAGTCAAACTAAGATGCAGAGAGCGCCATTGAGAATAGCGACCCGCCAAACAACCATCGCAGAGACGCAGTGATGCAGAACAAAACAAGCATCAATACGACAATTTTCAGCTTACACCGTCCTAAAAGTCCCAGCAGACATCACCTCCCGCATATCTCCATCGACCAGAACCACAAGATTTGTCAAATTAGGCCCAGCACACCCACTGATCTATCACAAGACGTAATACCACAAGTAGTAGAAAGCATCAATGCAACTATCATACGGATGGCTCCCCTCAAAAGACATGATTCCTTCGACTTAGGCAACAAAATTGGTACTGTTGTTATATTAAAATTAGCTCAACGTATCATAGAAGCACGCTACTAAGACGTCAGTAACCAAAACTCCACGTATCATAAAGCTATTGCATTAAGACATGGAGTTACGTATGCTCGTTGTATATAAAAGTACCTACTACCAAACACAATCTCCCTAATCGAAAAGATAGCCGACGTATGATACGCCTAGAATATATCAATTGGCGAGTCCAAGTTTACCCAGGTCTCGGATACTGTGAAGCAGTCTACACGCCACTGTAATAATCCTTTTCCAGTTCCATTTCTATCAATATAATGCTTTTATATATTTGAGACGTTCCACATATTTGCTTTATTTCATAGACCTTACTATTGTTACGAGCTTGGGGTTTGTAACAATAAAAACTGCCGATTGAATTATCAAAATTAACACATTAATTTCCGAACACCAATTACAACTTAAAACACACTACTAATAAAACAGTACTACTGATCACTTTAGTTCGCAGTTATATCGCTTCGAAGTATTCACTTGTATTTCCAATTTAATACTCACCAGGTTGCGGTCCTAACCGGCCTTATATAGGACCTCTTCTACTGAAACATCTAGAATGTTCGAATACCTACCGGTCCCGAATGACTAGGTGGAGAAAGTTCTAGTATGGAATTTTCTAGAAAGATCTTGACTCTCCCAGTTTTGCTACTCAATACTAGATGGCGCTAGTGGTAACTCGTTATGTGCCAGGTATTAAATATGGCACGCAAGACTACTATATGTCTTTTATATTTAAGACTTCATGCCATAACTCTGCTATTATAATGCTTATGCATAGTAGAGACCTACTTCTTCTTAATGCTTTTGTATCATAGACTACTTAAGTCCCTAAATATAGGCCTATACGAGTTCATAGTGCAGTGACAAACCCCATGTATGATCTTGGGTATGCAACTCCCTTATATTGATTGTTTCTAATCATTACATGAATTATAGAGAGTTTTATATATATATATATATATATATATA